GCGTTTTATCGTTTCACGGTCTTGGGGGCTTGTTGAGAATTTTAATTATTAGGCGCGATCAATTTTACAAAATTACTCGGACGTGTATAATTCGGTTACTTTATTGCGAGTATTTAGGCAGGCTCGACGTTAAACGTAACAAGAGTAAAGATCAGAGTTAACATTTTTGTTAACACTCTTTCTAAAAATCAACCCTTATGATAAGAATAGCTATATATAAAGTGCCTGCAAGTTTAGTTTTAACAATGAAGAATTACTCAATAAATCACCAAATAAAAAAACTAAAGAATAATTTAGAAACGTTGACCAACCAAACAAAGCCCAAGTAAACAATTAATTATTCTTCGAAAAAAAGGACGACCTAACGTCCTACCGATTCGAAAAATGAGAATCATCGACAACGATCGAGAGACCCACCTCCCTGTCGATAATAGGGTCCCTAATCGGTTCTCGAACTCCTGTCCATATCTCGCATGCTTACAACCCTCGAAAACAATAATTCAACCTGCAAAATACACTGTACGTTGTATTTTATTTAGTCCTTCGTTTATCTCGCCGATGATATCGGAGATCGCGATCGCGATCTGCCTGCAGGAGCGCGAGAATCGAATGTGCCTGGACGTCGAACCGCGGGGGAGGAAGGGGTGTGTGTGTGCGGGGGCACCATGAATTCTATCGTGGTCGAGGTCCGGATAGCGCCTGACTTAATCCCCCGTTGACTTATAGGGCCCGCCTATGTGGAAGAACAAATGAATAAATTAGGGCGGGGTCGTTTGGTAGCCGATGTACGGCCCTGAAGATTTATAGATACCCAATACCAGTCCCCCTTCCCCTCTCTTTCGAGGCTGGTTACACGGGGCTTCTGCTGTCTACCCTTCTCTCTTTTGGTCGTCCAAGGTAAACGCGAGAAGGAAAGGGGTGGCGCCACTATTTATGCTAATCGCCACCTCGCTCCAAAACGTTCGAGGGGTCCGAGCATGATACTCCGCGGCGAGATCGCGTCATCTTTTGCACTTTCACGGTTTACACGGTCGAGGTGTCCGGCAAAATTGGTCGCAAACCACGAGAAACGATCCCGTTTGATGTTTATGAACGATTTGGGAGGACAGAGTGTTTTTCAGGGAGGACCTCTTCCGTAGGATCGATGATAATGATATTCCAGAGGGGTTTTGTACGATGGAAAGCGATCCAAAGACACGTCTCGAGAGGTACGCGCTCTACACGCTTCTAGGCGTGTCCTGTGCACGATCACCATAACCAATAATACCCTAAAATATCTTCGATGCAACGGTGACGATGCGATTCATGCTGGGGACTAATCCTTCCGTGGCTTACCATATTTTTCCATACAATAACCCTTTGGTCGATCCATTCTTCTTTTTCACCTTGTGCTTATTCTTCTCTTCAGTTTCGTCTCCCTCGTCTATTTCACTGCGAAAAAGGAGCGCAGCTAGAAAACAAGAAAAATTGAGAAGCAAAGCTATGGGGAATCAGTTTGCAGCTCAATTCAGATCCTTATTCACAGGAAGGAAACTTAAAAATTAACAATTTTTAACTATGTGTGTGTGTGTGTGTGTGAAATGAAATGCAATATAAAGTGTAACGTTGAAGGGTGACTTGCAGAGAAGTTTTCCACCACTCCAGAAAATTCTGAAGCCCCTAATTTTTCACAGGAATACTGTTACTCGGTACTCTTACTAGGCCACGTTTCGCGATGACAGCTAATTAGCGGAGCCAGGTCGCTCGTATATTCCGCGCCAGGGGCAACAGTCTCGTGTCGTCCGTTTCCTGGTCGTCGGTATAAATTCAAAGGGCTGGAGTCATTTGTAGGGCGAGGGGAAGCCGCGGGACTGAGACGTCGAGATAATCTCGACGTAATCTGATGGTCGAATCGCGAGAGGTCGACTCAGGGATCCTTAAACCGTGGCTCGCGCTTCTGACGCGCTCCACTCCGAGGGACATCGAGTGGCAGAGTAGTATGTTAATGAGGACAGGGCCATGGGATTCTCGTGCACGGAGGTCCTGAATGAACCTGCACCCTGACCGAAAATAGACCCTTGTACCTCTCGACCACTCGCTTTTTGCCTTGCGAAAGAGCCACCGCGTGCCGCGACTGCTAATTTGAAACGAAAACACTAGCCAGCGAGGATTAACCCTTTGCACATCGTTGCAAAATGGACGAAGAGGAATCGCGTCACTTTTTAGGATCCTCAGTGATGAATAATAACTAAGGAGCAATGGAAAAGTAGTTGATAGAAATATTGGAACACCTTGTTTCCGTTCTCCAGTGCCAGAAAGATTTGAAATCTTGAATCTTCGACCCTAGCATTCATCCCTAAAACTTTTAATTTCCCAGAACTTTTGGAGCAAAGTGTGCAAAATGCGGTCGAAGCGTAGGTGCTGGGGATTGGGTGAGGAGGGCCAGGGAGAGGGTTTATCACTTGGCCTGTTTCGCTTGCGACGCCTGCTCTCGCCAACTCTCCACTGGAGAACAATTCGCTCTCTTGGACGCCAGGCTGCTCTGCAAGGCTCACTATCTGGACGTCGTCGAGGGCAACAATACCTCGTCCTCGGAGGACTGCGACTCAGAGCACGGTGGCAAGGGCAGCAAGACGAAGAGGGTGAGGACGACCTTCACCGAGGAGCAGCTATCCGTTTTGCAGGCCAACTTCCAATTGGACAGCAATCCCGATGGTCAGGACCTCGAGAGGATAGCCCACGTCACAGGCCTCAGCAAAAGGGTCACGCAAGTCTGGTTCCAGAACTCGAGGGCCAGGCAGAAGAAGCACAGTGGCAAGATCAAGTCGCAAAGTGAGTACTTTAGATCATTGTTTGTTAGGTTGTAAGGTAAAGGCACCTGTAGTGGACATTTTCAAGAGTTTTTCTTTTGGAAGAGCTTTCCTTTGTTTCTCGTTGAATTATCGTGGGTAATCAGTGATCTATGACTTCTGTTTGATTTTTCTGACAGAAATGGAATCATATCGAATAAAATTGCGATAAACGACTCTAAAACGTAGTCGAAACGTAAATTAAACGACAGAAAAATGATCATCCCTCTTTATCTCTAGATACTCGCTAGATTTTAGATGCTGCTCACTGTTTAATATACGTTGTGGAGTACCTCGTATATTTTCTTTGCATTATTTTGTGTCTTTTCCACCATCCCTGTAGATATTCAACTACAGTTTAATTCTGTATCCAGTGCACCATTCGCCACCGATGCAGCACCATCCAGGCGACCTGTACCCTTCTGGAGTGAGCATGGTGGGCGCCTATTTGGGTGGGTATCAAGGTGGTAGCGCCGGAAGCGAAAGTCCTGGCAGCCCAATGACACCGCTCACCCCCTTGACACCCCTAACCCCAACGACGCCCAATCATCTTCAAGCTCAGTTCTGTCATCAGACAGGGTAACTTCGCGTGGACGAATTGTAAAAGAATCTCGCGCTAAACCGGTGATCGAATCTGAACATTCAGAATTTGTTACCTTCGTGATCGAAGGACCAAAAGTGACGTAGTCCTAGGATCTCGACGAGGAACGGCGACAAGAGAACGTAATTCGTGCATTCGAAATTTTATTTTTCATAGAAATTTTACGACATTTGCGTTGCTCCGATGATTGAATTACGAGTGAGAGAGTACCGAAGAAAGGAAGGACTCTCTTCGAGTTCTAGGATGAGAGATGAGAGTGAGAATGTTAATGTTAAGCAATCGAGATGTTTTCCCTTTCTTGTACATACCAAAAAAGTGTCAACGACGGAAAGGAAAAAGTGATAATATAAATAGGATAGGATTCCGTGGTGAGGATTATAGTTTAACGAATAGACAAATCGACGATTATTTATTCCTTTTCGGTTGCAACAGTTTGCAGATTGTATTCGGTTTCTTCCGCGCGGTGAGTGATTTAGCGAATTTATTGGCGAACGTGCAATGAACCATCGCGACAGAATTAGAAAGGAAATCATCAGTTCGTAGGTATCGATAAATATTATTTTTCTCATTAATCATTTTACACTTTCAGAAAGAATTCCAACAAGTGTTTTAATTCATGTTTGACGACTTTTAAAGACGCATTTCCTTCTACAGTTATTTCAAGAATTTTCTAAGTTCATCCTGGGGAAGTCAAGTATTTGAAAGAACATTCCAAAGCAAAATTATGAAATTGCGTTTTACGCATATCCTTTTAAGTTTCAAGATCCAGGCATCTATTAAATAATTGCAACATTGCGCTCGCTGGTATTTTTCGAGTCCTTACGCGTGTCCTACAAACTATTTTATTTTCAAGACGAAATTGTACATAGACCTACCCTGTAGCTTTTGTATATAAACCTCGAGGAACTTCTGCATGAGTATTTGATATTGCTCCTGTGTTGTACACTAATTACCGCAATATTGTAAACCGTACTGTTATTAATAAAAGTGTCTTTTATTGTTAATGCTGTCTTTGACTCCGTGACGAATTTATGATTTATTGATAGACTGCGGAGTTTATGCATTTATGACCAACATATGCAAAATATGCACGTACGTATGCAGAATTTATTTACGTACGTGTTTAAACGTGTTATCCATATCAGCGTACGTATTATCCACCCATAAACGCACAAACTCCCAACGAATTTGTTATCTAAGAAAATTCCAATAGTTGATCCAATAAAATAAAAAAGTTTCTACTATTTACTCTTCTTCCAGTTTTAGTATCCACTTATGAGTTTCACACCGAGTGCTCCTAAACGAGTCTCCAGTCTTTTTCGCGATAAAAAAATTTATTACAAAAACGTACGACCGTGAGTACTTCCTTTCATTCCTCGAATGCTTTAATCAGACCGACAGGAAAAGGAATAAAAAACCTCTCGTTGATCTTTAGAGCGAGTATACATAAATTTATTATTTATTTACTTCTGACAAGTACATTGTTCTCTAGATCCCGTGTATATTTTACTAAAAATAACAGAACGCTGGGAAAATGTGAAAAAGGAACACACGCAGAGGTATGTGCAACATTTTATATTGTATATACGTAGTTTACAATATTTACATCACAGTACATGTATATTAAATTATGATTCTTTTACGATTACACAATTACCTAGACACTGTAAAAGATACTTTCATTCGGAACATTGCTTTTTGATGTTCGCCAAGATCACCTCGGTGCAGTCTCGGAGACATCGAACGATTCTCGTTCGCGCTTATCTTACTCGATCTTACACGTTTTATTAAAATGATAGCCTGATTACGTCAGGGAATTACCGCGGATGAAAATGAGAGCAACTTTCGCGTCCAGGGTGGAAGGAAAAGATAAGCTCGCTTCCACTACATGGAAATTGTATTCACCTGTTCGTAATAAGCTTGACACCGAGTGCGAGAGAGTGCTGCCATCCAGTCTTAAAAATTGGCATCCCTACGGTTTTGCTGATATCTTAAATAGGTTAACAACGTTTGGGCGGATTTCGTTCTAAATCATACAAAACGTTCTGTGTGCCTTAGCAACGTCCTTACGTACTAGAAAGTAAAGGGTTCTCCAAACTAGGCTTCAGAATTTTATTTTTGTTATTAGAAAACAAAATTCTAGGGTCCTTTTTTGGAGAAACCTTTATAAAACACCTGTTACGAGTTACCGTGTGTTGAACATTAATCCGTTGAAGTGCAGCAGCTTTCGTCACTTTTAATTTAATTCTCGTGGGTCCTTAAATAAGGACGTTTTCAGGAACACCCTGTGTAAGTGCTTCGTCCTATTAATTTTATTTCGAATGTTACCCACGATGAATCGAACTCAGATTATTTTAACAATTATCTGGGTTCAACCTTCATATTGCACATGTGGTATCAAACAAGACGCGTTAAATAATTTTGTACAATTTAATTTACAATCCGTTTCCCATTAGTTTCTCTTATCCAACAAGCGCTTCAAGGGATTAATTAACCGAATAAATACTGTTGCAGAGTACATACTAAAGTAGCTCGCGAAAATTACCGTTTCGTTAACGTGCCTCGCGATGGAAAGACTTCGAAACCGTAAACGCGGAGCTCCATAAATTAAATAAAGAAATCGACGCTTTCACCGAGAACGATTCATCAGGTGGAGAAACATATTCCTTAACGCGATAAAGACTATTTACAATGCGGCTAATCCAGCAGCGACGATTAAACCTCGTTCGGCATCGACAACATCATCGAATCCTGCGAGAGCTCGTCCATCGATTGTTCCGAGCCTGAAGACAGAGTTGACGGTGTTGCGATAGAGAGTAGACCTTTTCAAAGTAAAATTTTATTTTGTCTTTGTGTAACTAGTAAATAGACGTCGATGCAAAAACAATGAGTTCAAAGGGGACCCAAAAAACGTATCGAAAGTTTGTATACACAATTGAAAATTTTGTTTTCCTGTTTATAAAAATGGCTGAATGTGTTATCTCATAACACAATTTATCACAAAATTTTCAACAGTGTATTAAAAATAAGACCAGTAGGATTGCTTTAAGACTCGAACGACTAAAAATCGCGCTTCATTGAAAGCACTCGATAAGTCATACCCCATAGAAAGGCACGCGTGTAAGTACTTTCTTCGAAGGAAGAAAAATATGCTAGCATCGCTCATGCCTATATGGGATGACCCGATTAGTCGCTCGTTCGGAACTCGTCGATAGGAGAGCAGCTAGTTTCATGCAACAGGAATAATTTTCATCGAAAACATGCCGGAAGACCTGAAACCCTCTTACCGTGATTATGATAAATCGAAGGTGTGGGACTCTTGCACGTAGCCGGGCTAAGCTGTGGCTGCTGATGGCTGTGGTGATGGTGCTGTTGATGTTGAAACGAATAGGTCAGATGTAAATTGATGTGTCGACCGAAATCGCCCGTAGACGCGTTAGAATTCGGTGGTGATTGATGAACTGTAACAGCAAACGATGTTTCCTCATTCGAAGCGACTATAATTGCCGATATCTCTAATCCTATGCGATTCACGTGCTCGAATGGAATTTAAAAAGCAACTCCTGGCTGACAATTTTCTGTCAACGCGCATTCTTTTAATCTCTCTCTCTCTCTCCGTGTGATGTAACTAATTCAATTTTGATCGATCGATTGCTCTGTACTAAACTCTTTCGTGTATCCGATTATAAAGTAGTAAAATTGTATCTTCATATATGTTTGTGACGAACTAGTGGATTTCTCAATTTTTATTTCTTTCTATATAAAAAAGGTTTCCCAAAAGGGCCTTCAGGACGTCCTTGGTTAACAACATGTCAGTGTAATTTCATTTAAGATAAAAATGTTTAAAGTCTAAAGAAGTTACAGTTTGAGGTATTAAAGAAACAAGATATTAAAGGCTCTTTTGGTAAACTCCTGTCGAACTCGGTAATAGGGTCTGTTTAGATAGTTAGCTGAAAGAAACAAACGCAAGAAGTACCATGTTGCCCTTTCATTTTGCCCGTGTGCAGATGCTTCTTCTGCCTCGCCCTAGAATTCTGGAACCAAACCTGCGTAACTCTTTTGCTGAGGCCCGTGACGTGGGCTATCCTCTCGAGGTCTTGGCCATCGGGGTTGCTATCCAGTTGGAAGTTGGCTTGAAGAACGGAGAGCTGTTCCTCGGTGAACGTGGTTCTCACTCTCTTCGCCTTGTTACCGCTCTTGTGACCGCTCTCCGAGTCACCGCCTTCTGCGAAAGTACCAATTAGGGGTGTCCCCACCTTCCATTCGCCTCGCAGATCCTAAACCTCTATCCTTCGATCCGCTTCCCCGTTCACCAGTTACGGTACCAGGAGCTCGGGCTCGTTTTCATGCAAATAAGTGCTCGATTTTACGAGACCGATAATAATCTGTTGACGTTATCGCTCGATAATCGAGTGGCGATTGACTGGATAACGAGCTAAGCGATAACAGGAAATAGAATATTTCAGGAAGCGTAATTTCTAAGTGGACAATTTCTCTGTAAATTCCCTCCAAAGGGAAGCGGATCCTAATTTACTCGTATTCGTTTATTAGAAACACTATTCTTTAGTCATTCATTCTAATTAATTATTTTTGACACGTGACTGATCTTTCTTTCTCTCCACAGTACATATCTGCGCAGTCTCACCATCGGAGGAGGTGTTGTTGCCTTCGACGACGTCCAGATAGTGAGCTTTGCAAAGCAACCTGGCGTCCAAGAGGGCGAATTGTTCTCCAGTGGAGAGCTGACGAGAGCAAGCGTCGCAGGCGAAACAGGCCAAGTGATAAACCCTTTCCCTGGCCCTTCTCACCCAGTCCCCAGCACCCACGCTGCGTCCACATTTTGCACACTTTGCTCCGAAAGTTCTGCGAACAGAAGATATTTTTTATTTCTATAAATTTCTACGAATTTCAGAATTTTTCTGAGCCTAATGCTCGAGGTTGGATATACAGTCCAGTGCCATAAATATTCAGAAAAAATGATTCAGCAAAAATAATAATCAACGTCGCAGCCACGCACGCGAATATACTTCGGCTTCTCTACTCGCGAACGCGCGCGATTACTAATGGCGCTGGAGAGTGGGCTCCACCAGGAAATCCGCGAGACCTTTAGCGTTTTCCTCGGAGAAAGGGCCCTTTGAGACCCGAGTCGATAGTTGGCTTATCGACACCTCAATACGCGAACACGCAGAGCCGGGGGAATCGTCGCCGTTAAATGCCGTTCGCTGGATACATTTGTTAGAGGCGGCGGATGCCTTGGAAGCTAAATCCTTCTCCAGGCTTCCATCGTGAAATTTATTGGCGCCATTGCCGCAGGTGGCCGCGTGCTGCGTGCGTGCAAATTCTTTACGACCGCGACTGATTTTCCTGCGGGGAATCGCGTCGTTAGTCACGGCCTCCGCTTGGAAAAACCGCGAGTTAAGACAATTGTGCACGCTTTAAGGGGGGAAGACGTTTGTGAAATTCTAATTTACAAAGTTTGAGACTCCTAAATGCCCTACTCGCGTTAATATCAAATTCACCGATCTTCAATGGTTCCAAGCCTGCTCCGAAACAGTAGACTCATGATGAATTTGAAAAATGCGGCTTGGAGCGGTTAATCGCTCGTTACCATTAGCGAATTGGTGCACTTGCTATCGCGTTGGAGAGAGAGAGAGAGAGAGAGAGAGAGAGAGAGAGAGAGAGAGAGAG